GAGGGAGGGGGGGGAGCCACAGAAAAAGCAGCCTTTGGCCAATCAGAAGTGAGGAGCAGGGCTGCCAAGGCCCCTCAGCCAATCAGAGGTGTGGGGGCCTCCACTGCAATAAACCTGTGAAAATAGTGGCCGGCTCCATGATCAGCCCACAATATTGCCCATCTGCCACTTAAATTTGGGTAGGTCCCTACTTATGACTAAGTAATTCTTTCTTTGAATTTAACACTAAAGCAATATTCTCCTTATGTCATGAATGCTGTTTATTGGGGTTGTAGTATCATAGTCAATACAAACTAGAGAGGTTCCTTCTTTTTAATGTTCAGCTGTAAAAGGTGCCCTATACTTTCTGTCATAGATGTTTAGTAGTTCTCTGCAATTACTGTGTAGACTGGAGCTGGAAGTTGGGTGTAAGAAGGTTGAGACTGGCTGGGCAAGGAAACCAGGACTGGAAAGGGAATTGGGGCTGAAGACAGACATGAACAAGGAGCCAGGGAGAAACTGAGACTGATTTGGCAAGATTGTGACTAAGAACCATTGGATGGGGGAAGGATAAAGTGGTGACAGGTATAATGAGGGTGCTGGGAAAGAGCTTGGACTTGGAAAAAAAATAGGAAAAAGTGGAGGAACCTGAGACTGAAGAGGCCTAGGAAAGGAAATTAGGACTTTGAGTATATGGAGACAGGTATTTGAGGGAAGGGGAGAAAGTGGGTAGGAGTTAGGAGTGAAGGAGCGAAGGGTAAGGAATACAGATTGAATGAGGACCGAGACAGGGGAAACTGAAACTAGCTGGGCATGGAGTCTAGGGATGGCCAGTTGTAGAAAATGTGACAGAGCAGTGGTGCTCAACATCTTGGTCCCACAGGCCAGGGGAATGGCACAGGGTTGGTCCATGGGCCAGATCTGACTCTGTGCACTGGGATCAGGGCTGTGCCATCCCATTATGCCTGGATCAGTTCTGGGGTTTTGCACTTCCCCTGCCCAGCCCAATGCACCACCTTTGTTCAGCCCTGCATACTAGGATCAGAGCCCCATGTCTCCTCTGCCCAGTCCCACATGCTAGGATCAGGGCTTTGTGCTGCCTCCTGCTGGCCCCATGTGTCAGGACTGGGGCCCTGCACTTCCCCCACCCATGCCCGCATGCTGACATCAGGACTCTGGGGCCCTGCATGCCGAAATTGGGGCCCGAGGCCCCACACCCCCTTGGTCTGGCTTCACATGCTGTGATGAGGCCCCATGCTGCCCTGAGCACCCTATTTAGTGCACAGGACTACGACCCACAGGGCTTCCCACATACCCGTGAGGAGCCCTGCTGGCTGGATCTGGCCTGCAGACCTGGGCATGTAGCACCCCTGTGATATAATAGAGATGTGAGATGTTATGTGTGTGGAGGGACAAAACTAGTCCTGGGTAAGTAGAATTGATAGGAAAGGATATGCCCACAGAACATATCCCCTCCTATTCTTGGATGGAATGAAAGATGCCCGAATCTCATCTTTCCTTTCTTGTCAGCAAATATCTGTGACACTTACTGTCAAAGGACTTGAACTCTTCTAGGGATGCTCCACACAGCATATCAACCTGTTAATGCTATCAGTTACTAGCTAGCTGAAGTGGAGCAGTTGAAACTAGGTTTGGAGGATATAACAGTTCCATCTCTGCTGATAATCCCTGTGGGCTCATACACACACGATGTTTATCAACAAATACAGTTGACTGATTAGTTAGCTGACTAATTAGTTATGCAGTAAACACCTCAGTATCTACATGTGCACCCCTATTAGGCTGGAGTAAACTAATTTACTCAGAAGCAGAATAGTATTTGTTAATTCAAACACTGTCCTGCTGCATAGTAAAAAAACACCACAGCAGCACATGTGTAGATGCTGCCCCAGCTGACTGGGGCACTGAAGGACCCTCATGGCCCAGCCAGCCCCTCCACAACACATTGAACTGTGGGGAGCAGTCCTGGGCTGTCAGGCTGACCCCTGGGACTCCTGCCAGCTGGGGCTGCTCTGAACTGGTTCAACATACTGTGCAGGAGTAAAGTCCAGAGTTTATTGCTCCTGGGAGCATGTTCAAACAGAAATCAGCTCTGGAGTTTATTCATGCGCAGTAATAGCATGTGTAAATGCACCTGATGAGTATCAATATGATACCACCTACTGGAATGTCTTGTTTTTCAGTCTGCTTTTTTCAAAATATAGGAATTTGTGAAAGTGTGTGAACACTCAAAGCTCCATCTGTGTGTGCGTATGCTTGTCTTGGGCTGTAGGCACAAAAAGTTATTATGAAGTTGGGACATGGTAACTTATGTTCACACTCGTACCCCACAGTAAATGCAAGATATTTTGCACATCAATAAAAGTGAAGTAAGCTCTTTGCTGACCTTGCAGCAAGATGCTCTTGTATTCATAACCTTACTCCGCCTCAGCGGAGTCAGCTATGGTAACCAATGGCAGTTTTGCCTAAGGTGGCTTTCATTGCCATTTTGCAAAACTTCCATTGATTTTCATGGATCAGGATTGTATCATATATTGGTATAATATGAAGTAGCTGACATGTGAAGTAGTACTTACTGCTAACTATCTGATGACATATTCTATTAATGTAGAGATTTGTTAAGTTTTCTATTATATTGTTTTTAAAGTAGAATTGTCTGACTATTTTGAAATCTATTTCTAGATTTCAAAATCTATTTATAGATTTCAAAATCATATTTCTAGATTTCAAAATCATATTTCTAGAAAACTATGTAAACAGTTAAAAAATAACTTTACAAAAATTCCAACACGTGGATAAGAATGAGGTGTTCTTGTTGTTGAATGCTGGTGCTCTTAAAGATATCCCTCCACAGCTTGGTTATTGCACATGCATAAATCAGTTATTGTATTTGATACAGAGTTTAAATGGGTTGCCACAAAGTCAGTGAGAGAGAAAAATTATAAGGTATCTTTTTAAAATAAATAATATATCAAAGGAGAAAGCCTTTTATTAGCAATAGATCACACTTATTTCAGTAATTTTATCATTGTATAATTAAAAAATTTAAAATGAGCCTTCATTAGTATAATGCTCTTCTTTGTAATATAGAGACTATTGACTGGGTCTATTAATCTCATTTTGTTTATTCATTCTCTACCTTTCACATAGTAATCATCCTCAAGAGTCACAGGTGCATCATTAAAAAAATAAAACTAAACTAAATAACCCATTTTTCATATGGAAGGTACTAGAGTGCAAAAATGGGTAACATGCAAAAAAATCAAAGCATGAAAAATACCAACCCCCTTTCCATGGCGCTGTTCGTTTAAATCACAGGGAAGTGGAGGAAGAGGAAAGCATAATTGAAAATTGTGCAACAAAGTAAAACTGACAGCACCTTTTGAATAGAAACAGGACCTGGCATATTGTACATTAGGGTGGTGTTTTACTGAATATATAGAAGCAAAACAACAGCATCTTAGCATGACCTGGTCACAGGTAATTAGACTTGTAAAGCTTATAAGCAGCCTTTCTTTTACTGTGAAGGTAAATAGCATGTTAAATGTAAAGGGACACAGCCAGTGCAGCATCTCTTTACACTGTTTTTGGGTGCAGCTCCAGCATTGCTTCTTATGCAAATAGGTATTCATATATAAATGATTATGAACAAGAGCACTTGGATAGGTAATTGTGCCATCCTACAACCCTAGTTAGGTAAATGGTGCAATCCCTTTGTAAATAGCATTAGTTTACTGAAAAAAGAGTGAACAAAATAACTCCCCAGTCATGTTCTGTGTGAACAGATCCTTGCATCAGCATGGAACTCCAGAAGGAAGCCCTGCAGGTCTATGCGTCTGTCTCTTCAGGTTTTATTATAGGACCATGATGCTTTCAAATCAACGAATCCAAATTCAACAGTCATGACAGCAGATACGGTGCCAATCATTTTCCTGGCATTGTACCCATTCATGCCAGAGCTGAATTTATTCTGCAGAGTAAACTTTCAAAAAACAGGCCTGTCACGTTTAATGGGAAAAAATACCATAACTTATATTAGAAGAAAGTTCTTGGAGACCAATTCATGTTTAATATGACTTATTTTCAAATGACAACCTCATAACCGACTAATAGCACTTCTGGTTTATTTGTTCATTTCTTTTCCTACTTCTTTTTCTGTTAACATTTTCTCTTACAAAGTAGACTATCATGCACCTAAATAACTGTACAATTTTGAGATATCCAGCAACAGAGCTGAATAATGAGATGCATATGAGTCATAAATGTCCCCAAAACAGCGATCCAATAAACCTAGGTTTTATTGGTGTGTATTTAGAGCAGCAGAAAATATTGGATTTGTAATTTGCTATGGTTCTTATGGGACTCAAGCTGGAAGTAATGTCTTTCTGGAGTCTCCCTGCTTAGCTGTTCCCAGAAGAACTGTATGTATTGATATCAGATTTTTTATTATTGATCTGCTCAGTATAAAGTCTTTTCATTTTCACAAATGTATTTTTCTTTCTTTTTGCTTTCATCTGGATCTGCGTCTAGTACACTGTGTGGACTGCGCTCTGGGTCACGTGGAATGTTTTCATTATCTGCTTCTATTTGGAAGTAGGCGGACTTTCCAAGGTAAGGTCTCTCATAATTCTTTAGGATTATAGAGGAAAAGTTTGATAGCTGTTAGTGTTTGAAATTACTGGAACAAAAACAATAGTATTATTTTAACATGTGATCATGGCTTCAAAGGATTTCTTTCTCTGCTAGCTAGAAATCCAGTATTTTAACTTGTCTTTAAGAGTTTGGAAGTATGTAAATAAAGTTATGCATTATGAACCAGATTATATTCCAGTGGTTCTCAACCAGGGTGCTGCAGGGTGTCATGCAATATTAGAACTGTTAGGTGTGCAAACCTAACTTGCAAGATAAACCCAGAGATTTAAAATAGGAATCCATAGTGTTAAAAACCATTCTGACCTGTCATGGGCTTTCTGAGGTCTTTGCAGCAGAAGAACTGCTCCGTTTTTTTGTAGTGAAAAATTGAGTGAAAAATAAGAGCTGACATTTTCTGAGGGGTGCCTTGGGTCTATTGAGAGGAGCCTTGAGTCCAAGAAGGTTGAAAACCACTGACCTATTCGATGTATAACTGAAATTAGGCACCTAAGTGTTATTCTATCCTGCTATTGTTGAGTCACTGAAAAACAATTAATGTAAAAGGTGTGTGGGTCCCCATCTTCGCTGCTTTTTGGTGACTCAGTCTTAAGATTGAGATAATAGTATGTTACAAAAGTAGAAAAAGAATTCCTCAGGAACTGCATCATCAAACCCATGGTATACCTAAGATATATAGATGACATCATCATCATTTTGATCAAAAATCTGCAGTCTCTGATTGATTTCCATCACAAATTCAATAACCATCACCTGTCCATCAGGCTATCTCTTGAATATTCCAGCACCAACGTTTCCTTTTTAGACATGATGATCAATATCCAGGACAGCAAAATACAAACCACCATATACAAGAAATCCACAGACGAACATACATATCTACACAGAACCAGCAATCACCCTTAACATATCAAGAAAGTTGTAATATACAGCCAAGCCCTTCTATACCAGAACATTTGCATTGAGAAGAATACCCATAATTGTTACCTCACAAATCTCAAAAAGACACTCCTCCGGAGAGATAGATTGTACTTTTGAAAGATCCACCTGGATACCGTGTGAAGAATTGCTTCAGTACAAAAAGAAAATCCTCACAAATCGTACACCTTTAGTTATAACGTACCATCCTTCTGTGGAACCTATTTGGAAAATCCTGAAACAGTTACAGCCATACTAGAAGAATACCCAATTCTTAAAATATCTTTTCAGAACCATCCATCCTAGCCTTTAAACAAGCACAGAACCTCACGAAACTCATCACCAGAAGCAAACTTCCTATCACCCAAACCACACTGAATGGCTCAGGACTATACCAAGACAAAAACCGTAAAACCTGCCAACACATCTCCACCACTCTAACAATAACTGCATCCCACAACAGAACCATCACCAGTCCTGGATCTTACAGCTGCACCTCCAGAAATGTAATACATCTCATCCAGTGCACCAAATGCCCTGATGGAAAATATGTAGGAGAAACCGAACAACAACTGTGTGCCAGAATGAACGCACATCAGAAATCTATCAAAGACAAAAAAACCCAATTATCTGTAGGTGCATACTTCTCACAAGATAGCCACTCTCTCTCCAATCTCTCAGTTCTAATTCTAGGCAGGAATTTACAAAACACCTTTCGTAGACAAGACTATGAACTTCACTTCATCAACCTACTGGATACAAAAAATTATGGACTAAGTATAGATGCACATTATAACCTGCCTGCCATCTGATAACCCCAGGTAACCTGTCTGCATTTTACCAGCTACATTCTATCCCCAGTACAACATTCCTCTATTCTGCCCCCAAACCTACCTGTATCACATCTGTTGTTTCCCATTCCCTCTGAATCTCACTGCCACACATTTCCATTTTCACAGGCCTGCATTTTGGCTTCTTTTCTACCCAGAATCTTGCAAAGAACTTCTTTACAACTATTTAGTTGGTCTAATAAAATATATCACATCTACCCAAATAACCTTTCTTATAAAAGTAGGGAAATCAACAGATTTTCAGAATATGAACAGTATAGACTAGAATCACATTTAGTTGCCTAAGTCCAATTGGACCCTTAATTGGTAGAATAGAATCTGGCTGGTTATATATAGGTGAATCTTTAAAGAACCACTTAAAATTGACTCAAATGCAAATTCAAGATTTTGATTGTTGAAAACAGGAAAATATCACTTTAAGAGAAACTTTGAGTATGCAAATTAAAAATGTGTCTGAATGTTCTGAGGCTGGCTTGAAACCAGTTAAAAGGGAATGACTAAGAAGGTTAATGTGACAACTTGTTGAGCAAATTGGTCTCACTATAAGAATGCTAATTCAGTAAAAGAAAATTCATGAGAAAGGATGACATTTTCACACATTTGAATAAACCTTTTCTTTACTTAGTGCTCAATACTTTATTGATTTCTTTTTTAAACTAGTGATTAGAGCAGAAATGTTTGCTGGAAGCTGCAATGCACACATTACATTCAACAATGTTGGCATAGGTCTGTTTCTGAACACATCAAAATCAATAGAGTCTTTCCCTTAGCTTCTGTGGAATTAGTGATGGATAAAGTAAAAACAAGCATTTATGGAGGAAAAGCATTCAGTGATCAACTTCACCATTATTTCTCAATTTTAAGTTATCTTACAATATATGTAGTCAGGTGGAATAATATCACAATTTTATTACTCAAAGGATGAACTTGCTTTCATTCTTCTGATTTAGAGTGCCTGTATGTCTGAGATCCATGCATCATAGTAAAAAATATTAGATTTTGAAGAGTTGTTTCACAGTTAAAAGATATGCACAATATTTCTGCAGTTAAAATTAGTTGGGATTTTACCATTGACTTCCATGGGAATAGTATCACATCAAGTTTGTAAATGAATCAAGTGAGGGAACTTTTTTTCAATGAGATTTAAACACTGGTATCCTTTTTTAGGACAATTCTTTTAGGACAAAAGTATGCTGGGAACCACATACTCATGAGATAATGTAACTGTTTTATACAGAAGTTAGAAAATAATGACTGTAGTGAAGTCATTGATGTCATTAAGGCCAGCATTTTACCCTAGGTAATTTTGGTTGAAGCTTTTTTTTTATCATGCGTATCAATGATTCAGACCTGTTAGTGCAACTAAGGTAAAAATCATAGAAAATTAGGATTGGAAAGGACCTCAGGAGGACCTCAGGAGGTCATCTAATCCAACCGCCTGTTCAAACAGGACCATCCCCAACTAGATGGTTGCAGCCAAGGTTTGTCTAGCTGGATCTTAAAGACCTCCAAGGACGCAGAGCCCCACAACCTCTCTGCATAACCTGTTCTACTACTCTCCTAGTTAGAGAGTTTTTCCTAATATCTAGCCTAAACTTCCCTTGCTGCAACTTGAGATCACTGCTCCTTGTTCAGCCATCTGCCACCACTGAGAACAGTCTAGCTCCATCCTCTTTGGAACAACACTTCAGGTAGTTGAAGGCTGCTATTAAATTCCTCCTCAGTCTTCTCTTCTCTAAACTAAATATGCCCAGTTCCCTCAGTCTCTCTTCATAAGTCATGTGCCCCAGTCCCCTAACCATTTTCATTGTCCTCTTCTGGACTGTCTCCAATTTGTCCACATCCTTTCTGTAGCAGGGGGCCCAAAACTGGACACAGTACTCCAGATGTGCCCTCACCAGCGCCAAATAGAGGGGAAAAATCACTTCCCTCAACCTGCTGGCAACACTCCTACTAATGTAGGCCAGTATGCCTTTAGCCTTCTTAACAACAAGGGTACACTGTCAGCTTACTGTCCAAAATGTTGGTAAGATGATGGCAGTAAAGCTAATAAAGGAATAAACCCTGTGAAAATATTCTTGGTGGAAGATGGGTATTAAATCAAACCTGAAATTTTGCAGTGCATTTTGAAAAAAAAAAAAAGTTTATTCTGCAGCTCTAAATTTTACACGATGGAGAAAAGAATTTAACTTTGTTTACAAAATATAAAATATATTTCTCAGTAAAGAAAAAAATCACTGCCTAAGATGACATCCAAAGTCACTCTATGCTAAAAATGTTGCTTTTTTGAAAATGCCAGGAGCTTGGGGAATAAGGAGGAACTCGTCCTCCTGCTTAACACAAATAATTACGACATCATAGAGATAATGGAGACCTGGTGGGACTCCACCCATGACTGGACCATGACTATAGATGGCTATACCTTGTACAGGAGGGATCAAGTGGATAAAAGGGGCGGGGGTGTAGCTCTCTATGTTAAGGAAAGCTATGCGTCCCTGCAAGCTGATGCTGGTGACCAGGGTGGACGACTGGAGACCCTCTGGGTTAAAATCCATGGGGAACATGGCACAGGGTACACAACAGTGGGAGTCTACTACAGACCTCCCACCCAAAGTCAAGAGCTTGACCAGGAGTTCGCCCGGGAACTGGCTGAAAACAGCCTAGGGAGCTCTGCAGGTCAGTTAAAATAAAAGAGACACACTAGACATCTCTGCAATTCCAAGAATAAGAGAGGCTGTTTTCAACCCAAATTCTCCTAATAATTATCTCAGTCAAAGGAGGGAACTGAGCTGGATTTTCCACATCCTACATGAGGTGTTCCAAGTCCTAGGCTGTTGGTAAAAGAGCTTAACCATTTTAGGCTTGCTGTTTTGGGAAGGTGTCTAAGTCCAGCCCCCTTTTTGCTTTTGCTATAGATACCCAAAATGGGATTGAGGTATTTGTTTGGGGTCTAATGAAATATTTTGTTCAAGCTGAAGTGTAAAGACAAAGAAAACTTTTAGGCTTGGATCACTTTTTTGGTTTCGGTTTTTCTTTTCTTTTAAAAATATCGGGGAGAAGATTCAACCTCTGAAGTAAAATATCAATGATTTGTTCTGTCCTACAAAAAAAATCTATCTGACAATTACATTTGCATTTCTTTTCATTTGGTACTCTTATGACACTGAGAAGGTAATTTTAAGCGTGTAAATT